CGGTCATATTTGTCGCGCTGCTGATGACGTCAGGTACGCGCTTTAATCGGGCACGCTTTAGTGGACCGCGGTTTTGACGGGTTACGTTTAAAACAACCAACAGCCACACGATTTGAGAGGGGAAGGGAACTCATCGACCCCAGGCCTGCCGACACAGCCAGGTTTTAACCAGCTCTTTATTTGTTTTATTTTGTGCCAACTCTGGACTATCTCTGGCCAGTATCTTTAGGGATGTTGTTGGAGGCATTTGCTTCTCAATCTACTCCCAGAGGAATTCATGGAGAAATTCCATCACACTCAACCTCCCCACCACTGCACAAAGTTACTCACCTCAGTCAAGACTGTCAAGATGGCGGAGGTTGCAACAACCATACCATAGGACTGATAATCACCCGTCACCCGGACGCCCGATCTGTCCCCCATAGCCCACATGGTGATGTAGAAGTTGGCCAAAGAGACAAAGGATCCATGGATGAACGACACGAAGAATATCCAGAAATTGAAGAAGAGGTCTTTTTGACCTGCCTTGTACAGCTCAGGGAACTGCAGACTTTTCTTGGCATTCACATCCTAATGGGAAAAAAGAGCGAAGGCAATCTAGGAACGAGGGAAAAGGCTGCTTGGAACAGTAGAACTGACTGCTGGCAGTTGCAGATTAAACATATCTGGTGTCAAGGTTCCGAGTAACACATCCACTAAAAGCAGAACTCCAAGGCAGGTTAGATACCTCAAAGAACATGTGCATTGGACACATCCTATTGGCACAGGTAGTGAAAATCAACTCGAAAGATTCCAGCGGTTTCCCCCCTAATTAAAAGAGCAAATATTTCCCTCCCCAGTGTCCCCATTCACATTGTCTAATGAAGGTAGCTGGGAGGCTGCTTGGTCACTCCCCTCCTTCCCTTGCCATCTGCTGGGATGACCTTGATTCTCACAAGAAAACTTTTTGTTTTGACTGGTAGCCGGTCTATTTGCTTCCCCCTTCTCTTCCCCCTTTCAAAGTTCATGGCAACTATGAGGCAAGAAAAGATGGCTTCAGGCAGCTCAACTTCAGAGTTGACATCTGGAGGGAGTCACACTGGATAAGATTACAGGTAGTCCTCAACTTATGACCACAATTGAGCCCAAACTTTCTGTCGCAAAGCAAGACAGTTTTAAAGGATTTTTGCCCCTTTTTATAATCTTTGTTGCCACAATTGTTAAGTGAAGCACTGAAGTTTTTAAATGAATTTGGCTTTCCCATTGCCTTCGCTTGTCAGAAGGTCACAAAAAAGTGATCACGTGACCCTGGGTTACTGCAACCGTCATAAATGAGTCCATTGCCAAGCATCTGAATTTTGATCATGTAACCATGGGGATTCAGTAACCATGGTCGTAAGTGTGAAAAATGTCTTAAGTCACTTATTTCAGTGCCATATAATAGCAATAGCAATAGCAGTTAGACTTATATACCATTTCATAGGGCTTTCAGCCCTCTCTAAGCGGTTTACAGAGTCAGCATATCACCCCCACAGTCTGGGTCCTCATTTCACCTACCTCGGAAGGATGGAAGGCTGAGTTAACCTTGAGCCGGTGAGATTAGAACCGCTGAACTGCAGATAACAGTCAGCTGTAGTGGCCTTCAGTACTGCACCCTAACCACTGCACCACCTCGGCTCCCATGGTTCATATAACTTTGAACCATCTCTAAACAAACTTTTGTAAGTCAAGAACTACCTGTACTCTAAAACAGTGTTTCTCAACCTTGGCAACTTGGAAGATGTCCGGACTTCAACTCCCAGAATTCCCCAGCCAGCATCCGCTGGCTGGGGAATCCTGGGAGTTGAAGTCCGGACATCTTCAAGTTGCCAAGGTTGAGAAACACTGCTCTAAAACAGGGGTGCAATTTAATAACCCCCCCTCCTGTTCCTTTTTATTGGTTCCCAAAACACTCCACATGTGACCCGCTGAACCTGGGTAGCAAACAGGTGGTTTCTAGTTTTTGCAAAAATAAAATGACAAATAAAAAAAGACAATTAAAAAAAAACAACCAGACGTGTAGAAACACTGATAAGCTTAACCCTTAACTTTACTTTGGCCCACAACCTCCACAGCAGTGGCCGAAAAAAGTAAGAATTCATCACTGCTCCTCCAATGACATCATCAACAGATTGCTGGACCTTTATACTCAACCACTAAAAATATTGCTCAAAAAAGGCAATTGTTGGACATAAACTACAATACAATAGCAGAGTTGGAAGCGACCTTGGAGGTCTTCTAGTCCAACCTCCTGCCTAAGCAGGAAACCCTATACCATTCCAGACAAATGGCTATCCAACATCTTCTTAAAGACTTCCAGTGTTGGGGCATTCACAACTTCTGGAGGCAAGCTGTTCCATTGATTAATTCTTGTAACTGCCAGGAAATTTCTCCTCAGTTCTAAGTTGCTTTTCTCCTTGATTAGTTTCCACCTATCGCTTCTTGTCCTGCTCTCAGGTGCCTTGGAGAATAGTTGGACCCCCTCTTCTTTGTGGCAACCCCTGAGATATTGGAAGACTGCTATCATGTATCCCCTAGTCCTTCTTTTCATTAAACTAGACATACCCAGTTCCTGCAACCGTTCCTCATATGTTTTAGTCTCCAATCCCCTAATCATCTTTGTTGCTCTTCTCTGCACTCTTTCTAGAGTCTCCACATCGTGGCGACCAAAACTGAATGCCGTATTCCAAGTGTGGCCTTACCAAGGCATTATAAAGTGGTATTTAACACTTCCCGTGATCTTGATTCTATCCCTCTGTTTATGCAGCCTAGAACTGTGTTGGCTTTTTTGGCAGCTGCTGCACACGGCTCCTATTTAAATGGTTGTCCACTAGGACGCCAAGATCCCTCTCACAGTTACTACTATTGAGCAAGGTACCACCTATACTGTACCTGTGCATTTCGTTTTTCTTGCCTAAATGTAGAACCTTACTTTTTTCACCATTGAATTTCATTTTATTAGATAGTGCCCAATGTTCAAGTTTGTCAAGATTCTTCTGCATCTTAAGCCTGTCTTCTGGAGTGTTGGCTATTCCTGCCAGCTTGGTGTCATCTGCAAACTAAACTAGCGCCTGTTTGATTTGGCAGTTAAGGCACCAGGAGACTGTGAGTTCTAATCAGTGGTGGGATCCTGCCGGTTTAACAACCGGTTTGGCTACCCGTGTGCGCGCAGTTTTACCAAAACTTACCTTTCATGTTACTTCTTGGGGAGTAACACAGTGCTCTGCCATGTTAATCAGCTAAGAGGATATAGGTAAGTAAAGCGCAAGGGTGAGCCGGCGGGCCAACCTGATCGTTGGAGCGAAGTGATTTGCTCTCAGCTGATTATGGGAGCTACTGGTTCATCCGAACCGGTCCAAACTGGCTGATTCCCACCCTTGGTTCAAGTCCCGCCTTAGGCATGAAGGCTGGGTGGATGACTTTGGCCCAGTCATTCTCTCTCACCCCAACTTACCTCACAGGGCGATTGTGATGGGAGAAAATAAGAAGAGGAAGGAATATTACGCATGTTTGCTTTCTTGAATTATTTATAAAGGGGGGGGCAGGATAATAAACAAATATTTCCCATCTGTGCCTTAGTAAAAGAACATGGGACAATGTCCTATCACAAAAGGGATACTGCTGCCCCCTGCTGGTGATGTCAGGTTCAGAAGGCAAAAATCTGATCTACAGATTCTCTATTTCCAAGATGGATGCTGTAACTCACAGCTCTACAGCCAGACTCATTCCCTGAGACTCTGAAAGAGAATTAACGTCACAATTCTCCCCATTTTGGGGTGGAAAATGCATGAAAACTATATTGGAAAACCTACAAGAGGCTTGCTATAGTTTTAAAAACAAAAAAAAACCCTTCACCAAATTACCCGAGAAAGAAGAAGGGGGTGGGAGGTGGGGAAATAGCCCTATGCAATTTGGGATTTCCTCAAAATGTTAAGTAGTGCCTGCAACCATTAGGCCATTATGTACTTCTTCTCAATTTTAACTCTTGAAATAACAGCATCTATCCTTATGTTGTCAAAGTAGCATCATTGCACTTTGCTGAAAGGCAAATAGTGCTTAATAAAAATATAGTTATACCTTCTATTTCTGCAAAATATACCAATGTGGTTTTCGCTATCTTTTATTTATTTCTCCCGCAGAAGTTTGACAACTTAAGCTATGGGAGTAAAAGCTAACTTCATGTTGTGCTGTGTTTTTAAATTTATCTAGAATTTAAATCAATATGAATCTGAGTTTTGGATTATAATCCTACTAATGAGTTTCATAACATGTCCCAAGTTTGGGTTTTTCTTAACATAAAGCTTTAACATTTCAGTTCGTCTTTTCCCCTTTTCTACTGGTTTGCTAAATTTGTTAAATTTTTCAGACCACACTCATGGTTACACAGCAAACCTCTTGGGTTGGTTGGGCTAAGACAGGGGTCGGCAACCATAAACACTCAAAGAGCCATTTGGACCTGTTTCCCACAGAAAAGAAAACACCAGGAGCCACAAAGTTCCTAACCGGAAGCCCCCTGTTCAATTCTGGAGCCGACCAGAAGTTCAGTTCCCCCACCATAGAGTCTCCTCCTAGCGCGGCGTCCTTTTTCCTCTACCTGTCATAACCGAAAGCCCTATCAATTGTGGAGACAACTGGGGCTTCCTGGGGGCGTGGCCTGTTGCCGAGGAGGGCTCCACCGA